GTATGTTTAATACCTTTACCAAACAAAAGAATAAGTTCTTTACTTATAACTACAAATTTAATAATTTTATAAGTAGCGATATGGATGCACAAATTAAGATATAATGTGTTGTAAATATCATGTAAAATTAAACTATATAAAATAAAATATAGCATTTATAATATTTATAAATATAAAATTCTTGGTTATTTAGGTTAATAATGATGATAAATACAAAACGAGCGATAAATATGTATAAAAGAAACGAAGAGTACAAGTTTGAAAAGAAATTTAAATTAAGATCTTATAAAAAAAAGAAATTGTTTATCATTAAAGCAGCTAAACCAGAAATTTCAGGTAATTTCTGGTTTGTAAGAATATTATATTATGTATATTATTATAATATCTATATTATATATTTAAGAGAGAGAGAGAGAGAGAGAGAGAGTAGTCTAAAATATTTAAAAAAAAAAAATAAACAAAAAAAAAAAACATGCATTTAGAAATTCAACTTCCAACAGGCATGGATAATCTTCAAAATCTAGTATACCTGCAATCTAAACTGCCTAAAACCACCAAAAAAAATAATTTAATTTTTTGCTTGCTTCGTAAAAATTTTGAAAGATGTGAAGAGTTAGGTTGTAACTGTGTTTTAGCTAAGGTTAAGAAACCCTGGGTAAAAGCAGGGTTTGAAGTTGTTAGTGACACTCAATTGTTCAAAAATCTTGTAAGACTAGACAAGCAGTAATCTGATTTGAAAAAAAATGAAAAAAGAGGCTCTCCTAAAGATTTAACAAATCAGAAAAACTTTAAGAACTACTTAAAAAAAGTTTTTTGGATTGGCAAACCAGATTTGAAGAACATTATAAGAAGCGACAAAAAAAGATCTGACAAGGATAAGCTCGAAGATTTGATGTTTTTGGAAGATCAGGAAGGAGAACGAAAGTTTATTCTTGGGACAGAGGATAAGAAATTTAGCAGAAAGGTAAAACTGTACGATTAAAAATATTTGGTGATATTTTTCTTATAAAATATTTCGTTATATTTAATATTATTTTATACTCGTAGACTGCAGAGAGTAACAGAAAAAAAAATAGAACAAAGGATGTGCGGTCGACGAATTCTTATTATGAAATTGAATTCAATTCTGATTTGAGTTCTGATTCATCCGATGATTCTGAGTTTGAGCCTAGTAACTATTATCAAAAAGAACCATCTCAATCTAACAGTACAGTAACGGCAGAAATTCCAATAGATGTATATGCCGGGAACGTTGCTCTTATGGCTACGTTAAGCGATGTTTCACCAAATGTTTTGCAGAAAGTGACAAGTGCCATTTTAACTGAAGCTGGTGTTTATCTTACAGATATACATTGCAGTAAATCAACAACTTTTAGAAAGATGAAATTGGCAAATGAAAATATATTAACTTTAGCAAAAGAGGATGTAAAAAAAGCAATAGAAGCTTCTCCTTATCCATGTATTATACATTTTGATGGAAAAACTCTTTATGAAGTTAATGCAGGAAAAAAGTTCAAGACTGACAGGCTGGCAGTTCTTGTGAACATTGAGGGTGAGACACACCTACTAGGTGTCCCTCCTCTAACTTCCTCTTCCGGCGAGGATCATTACACAAATGTCATGATCGTACTAAAGGAATATAAACTTGAATCAAAAGTAGGAGGTCTTTGTTTTGATACAACTGCAAGCAATACCGGGATCAAAAAAGGCGCAGACGTAAAGATATCCAACAAATTAAATTAATATCTTCTAAAAATAGCATGTAGGCATCACATAACAGAATTAAGAATGGTGCATTTTTGGAAACATACAACAAATGAGTTGAGTACAGGACCAGAAAACCCATTGTTTCAAAAATTAAGAAGCTTATTCGAACATCCTAATTTTATTTATTCTCCAAGTGATCTGTGCAAGTTTGATTGGAGTGAGGTTAATGGTAGTTTAAGTGAAAAGGCTGCTGAAGATTCTATGAACTTTTGCAAAGCATATATAGAAAGAAAGGGGATAGTAGGAGAAGATAAACGTGAAGACAGAAGAGAGCTGGCTGAATTAATTGTGACTTATCTATCACCTTCTGTTTATAAAATCAGGAAAACTGGAGCTATCCATCATGCCCGTTTTCTTGCTAAAGCAATTTACTATCTAAAAATGCAGCTTCTGTATTCTCATCTTGACTTTGTTCGAGAGAACAACGATCTCAAAATGGAAATCAAGCTTATCGCAGAGTTTGTAGCTTGTTTTTATGCCAAGTGGTATTTAGAATCGAGCAATGTGTCAAAGGCCCCCAACTTAGATATGAAAGCTATCCATCAGATGCATCAATTCAGAAATATTTGTTTGAATCCAAAAGCATGATGCTGTACTTGATTCGCTTTACAAGCACACTTGGTACTTGGATTCAACTATGATTCCACTAGCTCTATTGGATGAGGATTCGCCTTTGAATGAAAAACAAAAAATTGCAGTTGCAATTCTTTTATTTAAAATGCCTAAGGCTGAACACTTTAAAAATGAAAACAAAGAAAAAAAAGACATCAGAAAAGAGATAGAAAAAAATTCTAGTACTGAGAAAGATCCACCAAGCTTAGCCCCTTTGGTAGATGAGTTTTCTTACCTTATGTTTAGTTTTTGCGGTTTAACAGAAGAAAGAATAAAAGACTGGCTTTCACTTCCACCGCAACACTGGCATACACAGTCTTTGTTTAAAATTTTTGAAAATTATGCCAATAGCCTTATTGTTATCAATGACCATTCGGAAAGAGCCGTCGGCATGATGCAGCAATATGTTCATCGTTATAACAACGAAGAGGAGAAACAGAACAGATTGATATCAGTTGACAGAGTTCGCTCTGCTTTCAGGATTTCTGGGAAAAGCTCCACCAGTCTTACCAAAAATAGGTTATCTGATAGTCTTTCCTCTTTAGCGAAGAAACAAAACGCAAACAAACAAAAGAAGGATTAATTAGATAAATAAAAGAACCTCTACAAAATCTTCTTAAATATTAAAAAAATAATTTTTTTTGATATGGTAAGTAACATTAAATCGTGATATGCAAAAACCACATATGTTACAAAATCAACATTTTTGTAAATTTGAAAAAACCTTTAATTGTTAATGATTTGTTTTTGTAGGCCTCTTGAAAACCGCATATTTACTAATAATGTAAGGTACTGTACTTTGTGAAGAAAGAAAAAAACCATACTTTTTTAATCAAAAATACTGATATTTTTCTTAACCCTAAAATATAAATTTATTAAAAATATTCATGCTAGCCTTGCCCTCAAGACACTTTAAAGTAAGCAGTTTTTGGTCATTTTTGAGTCCTTTTTTTCCAAACATGTGCTTTGAGGGCAAGGAAAAAGTGGTGCAATGGTGCTGAAATTTTTTGTAAGTAAGTTTAAACATATTTGCTTCAAACCTAGACGGTTTTGTTTTTCAAATTCTGAAATTTTTTTGTTTTTGAACACTCTTAATATATATATATATATATTTATATATATATATATATATATATATATATATATATATATATATATATATATATATATATATATATATATATATATATATATATATAATACATATATGTATATATATATATATATATATATATATATATATATATATATATATATATATATATATATATATATATATATATATATATAATATATATATATATATATATATATATATATATATATATATATATATATATATATATATATATATATATATATATATATATATATATATACATATATGTATAAATATATATATATATATATATATATATATATATATATATATATATATATATATATATATATATATATATATATATATATATATATATATATATATATATATAAACTTCTAAAGTGATTTTAAAATGATTTTTCAGCGCATTTTTGAAAATCTAACTAAAATCTAATCCTACTACGCACTCTGAGTGAAACACCAAAATTTAAATCCTCCTAATGATTAACTAAATGTGCATCATCCTTTAGCCAAAATTTAGGCAAAATTGATTTAAATTTAGCACAAGATACTTTTGACTTTCACTTTTTATGTTACTCATTGAAGAATAAAAAACACAATTTTTCTACAGAATATATAGCCTTAATTTCTGATAGTAAACTTTGTGTACAATCCACAGACTTTAATATTTATGCAAATCAAAAACTTCTTATTTAATTTGGAAGTTGTTTCAATCGTATAAAAAGAAATGTACATAGGGTGTGTAATGTAATTAATACATGGTCTAAATTTCAAGATATTTTTCAATTTTAAACCATTTTATACCAAATAGTAAAGAAATAGTTGTGAATGAGCAAATTACCTTAAATACCTTATTTCTTCATGAATTTGTAGTCGGAAAAACAAAAGACAAGCCAGATTCTCTGCCTAAATCTATATTAGGTGTAATTATTTAAAATCTATTTTAGGTGTAATTAAATATAACATTTGTTTTTATTATTTTGTTGAATTTGTTATTTGTTTAAAAGTTTCTGATTTTTGATTTTGAAAGTGCCCCTTATTTCTTTAAAGCACTAAAATATATAATTTATTTAAGTTTTAGTTTTTACCTAATTTAAAACTTGTTTATGTTTCATTGTTTTAGCAATTTTAGGAATTAAAATAATAAAATAAAAAATTTTTATTATAAAAATTTTGGAAAGCTTTTTTAATAAAAAATTATTTTTAAATTTGCATAAACATTTACATTGTCTAACGCATAATGGGACATGTTACATAAAACATATTGTTTTATGTAACAAATGTAATGTTATATATACTTTAAATATTATAATTATATTGATTGCTGAAATAAGGGCCTCAAATTTTTTTTTTTGCATGTTGTGGCCAGTTACTCAAAGAGGGCAATTTAAAAAATAAAAGTAATTAAGTATTAAAATAAAATTATACATTTATTTATACATTTTAAACAAATTTAATAAAAAATAAGAGATATTAGTTTAGACATATTTTTTTATAGATTCTTTCTTCTTGTTTAACAAGTTGAGGCTACCTAATGATAGTTTGAATTCAATCTTATATGTTTTCTTTGAAGAGTTTCAAATTACATTTGATTTTTATATCAATAAAACTATCACTGAAGGAGAAGTTTTAGTGTTACAAGATGAGTCATCTAAATGCCTAATTGATGTTGCTGTTTTTAAAAGTACTCAAAGTTTAAAAATTACAACAGACAGTATAATTTTTAACTCATTAGATAGTTCTAGCAAACCTTTCACTCTGGAAATGAATACGAAGATTTCTATTAAAATTATTCAGCAATTTATCAATGCGAATTATTACTTCAACATAAGTGTTAATGAAACTGTTATATTTTCTGTTATCAATACACAACCAAAAGTTTGCTATAATTTTAGTCTTTATATATGTCCAACGAGTTTTCCTTGTTCATCCGGCACAATTATGAACTTAAGCATTATTAGTAAAACACAAGGTAAGTTATTTTTACTTTCTTAAAAGTAAAAAAATTGTTATGATAAAGACTCCTATTATTTAAATTTTTTTAAATAATATTTTGCATTTTTTGTTTGATATGCTTTACTTGATTAACTGTATAAAAATAAATGTTAAAATTACCAGAACTTTTGAAACAGATAGATAAAGTTGCTGCTACTTACTTGTTGTTACTTATTACTAAGTCACTTGTTTATCACAATAAACCACAGTGACCAACAGGTTTAAAGTCACCCAACATTAGATCTTTTTTATATAAACTTAGCTGTATATATGAAAATAAATATTTAGTTGTAAAAACGTCTAGAAGAATGGACAAATCTATGAAAATTAAAAAATAAAAAGTATAGTTTTTAGTAAAAAATATCCGTCATTTTCAACAAAATAGCTATAATTTGCTAATCAAATACCGGCATATTTTGATTTTAAACCTACTCTGGTGCACATGTGCTGTTTGTTTTAAAACATTTGGTAAATAGTCAGCAAAGCTTCATAAAATAACTAAAGCTATTGAAGAAAAAATAAAAACTTTTTTTTGGGAAAGCTATGATCAATGTTTGGCAAACCATCCTGAAGTTATTTGTAGCAATTGTTATAAAAGCCTTTGTTGTTTGGAAAAGAATGATACAAAATATCTTTATAAGAAGCTTAAGCAAATTTCTTAGGTTAGTTGATAAAATTAATAGAAAACTATATTTATAGCTTTGTGTTTAAAAGTTTCATTTTTATTAATTTTGTAACAAAAAAGAGCTGTGTCTCAATGATTCATTGAGACTCATCACTTTACTTTTGTTAATTCATTGAATGGTTCAATGAACCTTTATAAACTTAAAAAATATTAAAAAACTTGTTTTATATAACATGCTGTTTAAAATTAATATATACCAGGTACCAGGGGCGGACGCAGGTTTTAAATTTACCCTGTCAAAAAAAAAGCAGTTACGCCATGTTGTAAGTGACGCAACTACGCCCACAAGGCAAATAAAAAAAAGGAGAGGGATGGAGCAAAGGCAAGTTCGGACCAATTTGCACTACACAAGTTTGCACTACGCAAGTTCGGACCAGAAATTGCACTACACAATTTTATCCGAATTTTATGCCACTTTGAAACAGCCTCCTAAATTTATTTACATTTTTAAACAATGTGCTCAATATCTCAAAAAAAAGAAACATATAAGGAGGATAGTGAAGGGGAAATCATTCCAATAGCCTCCTTCTATGTATCCCTTTAAATTTTCCTACCATTGGGCTAGAGGATTTAAAAGAATTTTTTTATCGCAGTGAGAAGCTCATATCTTAGTTTTACTTAAAAACTTATTTTTAACAAAAAGTGTTTTTTAATAAAAGAGTATAGAGCTGTAGATTCTTTTCTACCATTTTGGTATAATATATTAAAAATAATAAATATATAAACCAAAAAATGATTGTTTCGCCAAATATTAGGGCTCATCAGCATGTCTAGGAACATATTTTATTCCAAACATGGACAATTGGAAAAAGAAAAAATCATAACAGAAAAGAGAAAGACGCAAATACAAATAGATTTATATTCTTAGTCAAAAAAAAGTTATATATTATTTTTTATTACTAAAAAAAAAATTAAACCAAGTTGAACCTTAACAACAAAATAAATTTTCCTACCATTGGGCTAGAGGATTTAAAGGAATTTTTTTATCGCAGTGAGAAGCTCATATCTTAGTTTTACTTAAAAACTTATTTTTAACAAAAAGTGTTTTTTAATAAAAGAGTATAGAGCTGTAGATTCTTTTCTACCATTTTGGTATAACATATTAAAAATAATAAATATATAAACCAAAAAATGATTGTTTCGCCAAATATTAGGGCTCTTCAGCATGTCTAGGAACATATTTTATTCCAAACATGGACAATTGGAAAAAGAAAAAATCATAACAGAAAAGAGAAAGACGCAAATACAAATAGATTTATATTCTTAGTCAAAAAAAAATTATATATTATTTTTTATTACTAAAAAAAAAATTAAACCAAGTTGAACTTTAACAACAAAATAAAAGATCATTTTTAATCAAATGAAAATTTATGAAACTTGAAAATTATGAAAACAAATAAAACTTATCCAAGTTTCCATATCCTGCAAAGTATTGTTTACATTAGCTATTTTATATAACAATTTTTGCAATCTCTGCAAAGCATAGTTTTCACTAAAAACTTTTTCCTAATTGTATATTCTAACAAAATATAACAAAAATATAAAGATCAGCAATATGTTTTAAGCGGGGTAAGACGTCATGTACTAATTGTATTCAAATTACAATCTTTTGTATTCAAATTACAATCAATTGTATTCAAATTACAATCAATTGCACCACATTTGCATTCTCTTGACACAATTGTACCCTTTATATATTTTTTTTATCCCGTCACTTGCAGCACTTGACGAAGTTTAGATCCGCCCCTAGGATTAAATATGTCATCGGTGTGTTTATTAATAATGTGTTACATTTTTTATATTACTAGTTTATATAGTTTCAGGTTTATTTGCTTGGATAAACCGTCAAGAGATCACAAGAACTTTAGATGTTTTAGAAACTTCAAAGGATACATTTTTTTCAGAAGTTACCATGGCATTGGATTTGATGGCAACAATGCCAACAGACTTTTAGAATAGTAAAATGTTCTTGATCGTGATATTGTTGATAAAGGAAAGCTTGAATAAGCAATTAAGCAATAAAGCAAGCAACCTATGGAGAAAAAATTATTGTTGATATTGAATCGGTTGTTTTTGAATTCAAGATGTCTAATGCTGTTTTAATGGAATATATTATTACTTACTTTAACCATATTTATTTTAATATACCGTAGAAATATCATATTGCAGTTAACCATATTGGACCATTTCTAAAAAGTACCAATACTGATAATGGACTTGGAATTTATTCTGAACGATGAACAGGTGAACCTGTTCATCGTGAGTTTGAAAAGACAGGGATTAAGTATAAGAGACGACAAAGTCACCCAGACTATGCTAAACGATTGAAGTCAAGTCTTGTGGTATTTTATACATTTAATAAATAGTTAACAAGTTTACTATTCAATTTAAGGTTTAGTTTAGATATTTTTTACCTTGAATTGCGTTAATTGCATTTTGTTGTAGTTGCTTTTATACCTACATTTTTTTCATATGTAATCTGTTATAGAATATGTTTCAATACTCTTTAATATAATAATAAAATGGGAAACACAGTAAAACACAGTAAAATTTAGGTTAATTACACAAAAACACAGTAAAATATAGGTTTCTTCATAAAGTTATGTGAAATATAAAAACTTTGATAAATTAATCATGTTCCGCCTCTCTCCGTTTTTTTTAAAGTTTAGATGTGTAAAAATGTTATTCTAGCCATTAATATGGAGGTTCTTAATACCTTTACCTATTTTATATACTATTTTACTTCTTAATAAAAAAAAAATTGGATGTGGGGAGACATCACACCTGGCGGTTATTGTGGTTCACTGTGTTATATTAGGCTTAGTAAAACTTAGTGGCCACTATGACTAGAAATTAATTATTTAACCTATAGAGTAAATAATTAATTTTTAACCGTAGTGGCCATTAGGTTTACAATTTACCTGCTTAAAATACTGATTATCAATAAATAATAACTTTTTGTATTGTTTTAAAAAAATTCTAATGAATTTGTTTTTACTTTTTATTTTTGAACTAAATTAATAAAAAACTAGAATAATATAAATATTCTAGTTTTTTATTAATTTAGTTCAAAAATAAAAAATTAACAAAATTTTTTTATTAATTTAGTTCAAAAATAAAGAAATATTATTACTAAAAACACGTAGATTAACACTGATTTAAAACAATTTCAGAAATTATAAAATGCAGCTCTCTACTGTCCCAATCAGTTTTTTGTATAATCTAACTATTATTTGAGTTTTACATTTTATTTAAGTAATGAGTTTGATCTCAAAGAACATTCAAAGCAAAGAAAAGGAGTTTTGCGCAGTTTTTAAGTAGATTTATAGGGGGTTTGATTCTGAGATTAAAACAGTTTTAAACATGAAACTGTTTTAAAACACAAAAAACTCTGTAACTGTTTTGAAGAGACCCTGGTTAAATGTGAGTATTTTATTTAAACATAGTTTCCTATCAAGTTTTTGTTTTTAAAATACTTGAAGGAACACTTTCTGCACTTGCTAATCTCAGTGAATAGGCTTTATCTACTTAATTTTTAATCACTTTAACATCATCACAAAGTTAAACAAATTCCAAACAACTTCAAAGATAACATCTTGAAAGCATTTTAAGCAAAGCGTTTGAAGCAAATCTTCTTTTTTTATCAAATTACTTAAGAAGATAAATTTTAAGGTTTTTTAAATTTTAAGGTTTCTTTAAGGTTTGGCCTTCTCAAACAGTTGTTTGCATTCACGACAGTTTACAAATAGTACATACTAATATTAAGTGAAAACCTCGCAAAAAAAAGGTAATAAATATATCGATAATGCTAATAGTAATATTACTCGTCCATAGCAGTAACAAAACGGATTTATTAACTCTATTTGATTAGAAAGGAGTGAAGTATGTTACTCTTAGAAACATAGATTTAGTGAAGAGCTTTTAGGTCATAAGGAAGGTTGTTCCAAGACTTTTTATTTTGATTTTTTATGGATTTTTTTAAACCAGACAGTTATTTTCAAAAAAAGGAACAAAAACAAGATTTTTTTTGGCGGTAAAAAAAATATTCTTTATATTTAGATAGTACATATTAAACTATAACTCTTATATGACGTTTATAATGATGTTTCTACAAATGACTATTTCATTATGATGTCAGTAATAATGTTTCATACAAGCCTAAGTGTGCAAAGATATATGTGTATAAGTGTATTTTTCAAAAATTCATTTGAGTATACTTTTTTTTTTAACAATTCAAACTTTTTTTTAACATAGTATTCTGGTTACCATGGAGTGAATGGTCAAATTGCAATGCATCTTGTGTACAAAATAGAACACGCATTTGTATCAATAATCAATGGCTGAATTGTTTTGGAAACAGTATCGAGATAAAGTTTTGTGACAATATATGTCAAGGTACTTTTACATTTTGCACCTAATTTATAAAAATGTTTGCTAAAAGAAAAGTACAGGTAAAACATGAGAACAATTTTGCAAGATATAAAGCCAATTTAGCAAAGAAAGCTTTTAGTTAGGGAGCAAAAAAAGCTAATAAAAGTCTTATTATATAAAAAAGTGTTAAAACTAGGTCAGTGAATATGATTCGTTCCCATTTTGTTACTGTTGCAAGAAAAAGACAAAAAACCTTCCCAAACCTAAATTTTTTCAAAAGTTTTTTAGTTAATTATACTTTTCACGATTATATAATAAGGTATTGATTTTTTAAACTCGTTAAATTCAATGCTTATGTTAAAAAAAAAAGAAACCAACGTTTAAGAGAAACAGAAAACGAATGATCAAATAAAGTCAAACTGCTTATGTACTTGTTTTCCTTGAATCTTCTCCTCCTTCTAACATACCTGCTTTCATACTTTATAGAATAATCCTTGTACGAACTACTTGTTTTAAAAAAAGTAGAAGTCAAATCAGTTATGATCATATTTTCTGGCCCTCACTTTCTAAAGTTTCGAAGTTCAATATTCTTTTGCCATAAAAGCGCAAAGTACAAAAGATAGCAGTGAGATTAACGAGATACCTAAGTACTACGAATAAGTTATTATTAGTCAAATTAATTTTAAAATAAAATAAATTTCTGTATTACAGGGTTATTCATTTTTATATGCGCGTCTATTCATTTTTATCTGCGCCTTTATTCATTTTTATATGCGCATTTATTCATTTTTATATGCGCTTTTATTCATTTTTATATGCGCCTTTATTCATTTTTATATGCGCATTTATTCATTTTTATATGCGCCTTTATTCATTCTTATATGCGCATTTATTCATTTTTATATGCGCATTTATTCATTTTTATATGCGCCTTTATTCATTCTTATATGCGTTTTACAAAAGCAATTGTAAAAAAGCAATTTGAACAAAAACATATCATTTAAGCAATTTGTTTTGAAAAAACAGTTTATTTTTCCAAAACAAATTATTCTTATTTCCAGGTAAACGAGGTTAAAAATACTTAAAACGAAGACTTTTTACATTCGACGATGGTTTATTTAATTTAGTATTAGTTCTTTGTTTTCGATGATAGTTTATTTAATTTATTATTAGTTCTTTGTAAATTTATTATTATATTTCTTGATTGATTAAGTTATTATTTATCTAGTTATTCATTTATCTAGATTTAAATTTAATTGTTTATAATTATTATAAATATCAAATTATACACCCCTATGGATGGAATAAAAAATAGCAGTACCAATCGTAAAACAAGGGAAAAAGTTACAAAAGAGCACATTGAAATGCTTAATCATTTAATTGAGAGAAATCAATTTGCAACAAGCATTTCCACTTCTTTTAACTTATCGAAGCGCGCACTTCAAAATTTTGTCGTTAAGTTAAACAGAGGATAATTCGACGACATGACTGCATTCTAGTCGTTTTCTGATAAAAACGAGGTAAACGACCAATAAACTCTCAAATAAAAAATATTATCGAATTATACGTACAAGAAAACAATCTTTGCACGCAAGAAGCAATAAAAAAAATATCATTCTGCAGCAAGCTTTAACATTTTCTCAGTCTACTATTTCAAGAAAACTCGCTCATAGAAAACGACTTGAATGCAGTCATATCGTCGAATTATCCTCTGTTTAACTTAACGACAAAATTTTGAAGTGCGCGCTTCGATAAGTTAAAAGAAGTGGAAATGCTTGTTGTAAATTGATTTCTCTCAATTAAATGATTAAGCATTTCAATGTGCTCTTTTGTAACTTTTTCCCTTGTTTTACGATTGGTACTGCTATTTTTTATTCCATCCATAGGGGTGTATAATTTGATATTTTTAATAATTATAAACAATTAAATTTAAATCTAGATAAATGAATAATTAGATAAAAAATAACTTAATCAATCAAGAAATATAATAATAAATTTACAAAGAACTAGTAATAAATTAAATAAACTATCATCGAAAACAAAGAACTAATACTAAATTAAATAAACCATCGTCGAATGTAAAAAGTCTTCGTTTTAAGTATTTTTAACCTCGTTTACCTGGAAATAAGAATAATTTGTTTTGGAAAAATAAACTGTTTTTTCAAAACAAATTGCTTAAATGATATTTTTTTGTTCAAATTGCTTTTTTACAATTGCTTTTGTAAAACGCATATAAGAATGAATAAAGGCGCATATAAAAATGAATAAATGCGCATATAAAAATGAATAAATGCGCATATAAGAATAAATAAAGGCGCATATAAAAATGAATAAATGCGCATATAAGAATGAATAAAGGCGCATATAAAAATGAATAAATGCGCATATAAGAATGGATAAAGGCGCATATAAAAATGAATAGACGCGCATATAAAAATGAATAACCCTGTATTATAAGTTCCTTACCAATATGGGTTTTGGTTAGGAGCTATAGTTTTTTGATTATAACCAAAAATTTTGTTTCTAACTTTGTTTTTAAAATACTGCATTTCTTTAGCTTTATATTTCTTTTTGCCAGGATTTCTTATCATATAACACTGTCGATTCAGAGCTATTCTTTGTTTAAATCTGATGAATTCGATAAAAAGTAAGCACACAAACAAATTTTAATATATATTTACTAACTTTAAAACTTAAATATTAGGTAAAAAAGTTTAAAAGATAAAATAATTGAAAATTAAAGTAAAAAACAAACTTTTTCTCTTTATTCAGCTACGCAACATGAATATGTTATAAACAAATTTGCTCATATAAAACATTATACGCTTTCTAAATATGTTATATAGTCTCTACATCATATAAAATTTATGCCATATAAAATTATTATACACTTTTTTTTGTAAAATTAACTAAGGTATATAATGGCTGGTCAATAGTAATTGCTGGAGTTTGACCTTCATTTAAAAAAATGACAGCTTTTTTAATCACATCCGTTCTATATTTGATCATGGAAGCAGGTTATAAAGTTCAAGCATATAAATGCTATCTCGAGGTAGGAATACAAAAGAATTTCTCATAAATAATTAATGAGTCTTAGGGAAACTACCTCAAACACATAACGTTCAAATGTACATTAAAAACCTTATTACTTTCCACATGCCCAGGTGTTACGCAAAAGTAAAAAAAATGTATTCTTAAAAACTACATTATATACCATTTTATAGCTTAAACATATAACTTTTTTAAAATTTATATATTTTTGTACAAAAATAAAACTGTATCCTTCTAAGCTATAAAACAATTTTTTTTTTTTTTTAACTTGATAATGTTTGTTTTTTTGTTACTAATAAGTATAAAGTAATTTTTAATTTGCATAATTAAAGAAAATCAAATGTATACTTTACATGAGCTATTTCGACACTATTATTATATAGTCAATTACTTTTGCAAACAAAAGTGGTCCAGTATTTTGAGACTTAAAATACATATTTTAATATGTATATTATCAATATAAATTTGGTTCTTAACCCATGGATGTATGCATGGTCTCTAATAATGATTTTTACAAGTTAAATGATGTATTCAATTTTATATGGCAAAAACATTATATGTATTTTATTCTAAATGGTTATGTAATAACTCGTTTTCAGTAAGACTAGATTAGCCTTACAAACTTTTTTTAATATTATTATATCTTAAATAGTTATTATTAAATGTTATTCATGTTTTTATATAGTTAAAACATGAAAAATATTGATTGTTGTTCATATATAATACAAGATAACTTGAAGTTAGCTAATCCTAATATTTTTGATGCAGTTGTAAATAGCATGAACTTAACTGCAAATAATAATTTGCCTTATTTCATTAAGCATTTTACACAAAGGTAGAACATATGCAAAAGCTCTAAAATTTGTAAGTTTAGATTTTAATAAACAAATCTTTTAAAATTATTTTTAACTATTTTAATATTATGTTCTCTAAAGTTTTATGCTTTCATTCAAAGATTTGTGCACATTTTACTGTTTATCTTTAAGATAGTTAAGATAAAGATATTTAAAAGATATACTTTCAGGGTTTTTAATTAATAAACTTGATAATTTTTGCTTTTTTAAAAAGCTTTTTATAAAAAAATAGTAGCTGCTAATAAGATATTAGTAAATTTTATTATTTTTTAAGTTTGTTGTTGATGATATTTTTATGCAAATCTTATTTAAAGTTTTTACAATGTTTACATATTTATTAGTAACAACGTCAATTGCAACTTCACTAGCTTATCAACCAACTTCATTGTTAACATCTCAAAAATTACTGAACCCTATTACTTCTACCGCATTAATTCTTACAACTTTAGAAAGCAACACTGCTTTTGAAGGTATGTTCTTATGTTTTAATAATTTAATAAAAAATTAGTAACTTTTTAAATGCATCCACATTTTACATAGTTTTGTTAGTTAGCTTGTTTTAATTTAAATAAGACATTATTTGTTGTAAACTTCAGATATGCATTTAAATTAGTGCACCAATCCCTACTTTTGGCTGACGCCAAAATAGGTTGATACCGCAGCAGCGGCATTGGCCCTATATATATATATATATATAGCCGTATATATGTATATATATATATATATATGGCCGTATATATATATATATATATGGCCGTAGACTACCGCAGCAGCGGCATTGGCCCTATATATATATATATATATATATATATATATATATATATATATATATATATATATATATATATATATATATATATATATATATATATATATATTATTATTATAATAATAATAGCAATAATAATAATAATAATAATAAAAATAATAATGATAATAACAATGATAATAAACATTCAAAAGCAATCTATAATTTTTTCACAATAAAAATATCAAGAGAAAGGAAATTGGGCATAAAAAAGTTTTTTTAAATTCATATTTCTTGATTTTAAACTTCTCTTTTTGTATAGTTTGGATCTATAAGTCATACAGTTGCTGTTCTGAATTATAAAAAGACACTAAAAAGTAGGGAGTCCGTGATATAAAATAGTTCAAAAGATATTCGGAAAGGTTTAGAGGTTGCTGATATGAAGGAATACTTATATGTTTGCATGTAATATAGAAATACAAAAATAAATTTACTGATATTTTTATAACAATCGGCAATGGCTTGTGGTTACCAAGACCAATTGATGGTGCGTCAGCATTATGGTCAGTGCTTTGGCAGGCTGATGCTAATGCAGTTGTGCATCCGTCATTAATTAAAAACATGAGGAAAATATTTTCCTAATATTTTGTCAGCCGAGAACCAAGAGGCTGTATGCCCACATTTCGTGTTTTTTCTGTTTGTTATTAATAATAATCAACAACCAATGAAATATGTATTAAATAAATCTAGTCTCAAGAATGATACAACTTTAAAAAATTTTAAAAAAATTAGTCTAAAATTCTAGCAGAAAATCTTAACAAATTAAATTTTAAAACTTGATTTTCTCGGAATCACGAAAAATGAATACATGGCCTTTTGGTTCTCGACTGACAATTTAAAAGCATATGTTTTCTCAGATTTTAAAATATGACATACATATTTTCTGTTATAAAACTTGCATTATATAAAAAAATGCTTTGCTAATGTACTATTAGTAAATTTTAATAATTCTTATATTCTTTGTAAAATGTTTATATTTTTATGCAATTCCTATTTAAACGTTTTACTATAACTTTATATTTAGTAGTAGCAATGTCAACTGCGATTTCACTAGCTTATCAACCAACTAAATCTTTAGCATCTCAAAAATCAATAAGTTCTGTTGCTTCTACTGTGCTAATTCCTACAACTTTAGAAGTAAGCAACACTACTCTCATAGGTAGGATCTCATTTTATTTTGTCAGGGTCTAATTTTTTCATAATTCATAATTTATTAAATGCATTATTCTTTAAATAGTTTGTTAGTTTAATTGTTTTGTTTTAAATAAGAATTAGTTGTAGAAGAACATCGCCTCTTGATAACTAAAAAAAAGATAAAAATAGTTTGGTATTCAAATTACAACTTCATAAATGTCATTGAGAAGAAAAAAGCAAAACCATCAAGATTAAAAAGTTGAGCTTCTGAAATCCAAACTAAAGTTGTGGAACTTGTCTAATAAAAATATGCAAGTCATAAACCACTAGAAATGAAACCAAAATTTTTTTTTTTTTAGTTAATAAAAAATGGTGTTCTTCTACAACAATGTGGTTGATTTCATAAAGTAAAGGAACAGGAGTTATCTATCAACAGTTCAAACAGCAGCTTTAAAATTATGCTGCTCCATAATGAAAACAACTTCTAATTTGTCCCTAAGGCTTAATCAACGCTACTCAAAATAGGCTATATTAATTTTAAAATGTTGCTGAGAGCCTTAAAAAATGACAGCTACAAATGAAAGATGATTAAAGACTTGTATATTTCTTGATAGGCTTTTAACCCTTGTTTCTTTTGTCTCTGAGACAGTGCACTAAGGCGCACTTACAATAAAGGCCAACCATTTTTCACACATTCTCTGTAGGGAAGAACAACGACAAGTGGAGTTGCATAGATACTTTAAAAGTACTAATTAAGTTAGTCTTCTATGAAACCTAAATTATTCTGCAGTTACCACTGCAGGTTAAGTGAGATATCATCAACTTGTCACATTTAATTGCAAAAAGTCATCAATTTTCAAGTGCGTTTAATCTCGAGTTAAAAGCTGATATCTTCATAAAACTGCAGCTTAAAGGGATCATAAATAAGTAATGAGTTTGCTAAAACGCGAAACAGCACAATGAAAATGACTTAGAAATCGGCTTTTTTGCAACTGTAAATATTTTCCTATAATTTTATTAAAATTTATGTAGAATGTCAATGAAGTCAATATCTACAACAATTATATTTATGCATTCAGAGATAAGATATTTTAAGAGTTTTATTTAAGAGCATATATTATAAGAGCATTTTCAAGGCGTTTTAAATGAGTTATACTATTCTAGTTTTGATTAACTTTTCAATAAAAACTTTTCAATAAAAACCAGATTGAACTGAACTATAGATTTTTCTTAAAAAACAAAAGTTTGAGTCACTGATAGAGTAAAAATATAAAATAGTTATAAAAAGTATACATTTATTATTGCTATATTGTTAATTTTAGCAAATGTTAAAACTTAACTCTTTTTTTCTTGTTAAATTATTGAGGTGTCACAGGTATTACTCTGTGATAATGGGTATACTGCGATAATAAGTGTATTACTAGAAATACCTAATGTTGCAATTTTCATTTTTTGCATTTAATTAAGACAGTTTGTTGTCACATGGTTATCATAGCAGCCTAAATTTTCTTTTGAATCTCAAAAAAAATTTTAAAACTTAAACATTTTAACTATTTAAGATAGTCCAAGCATTTGGTATCGATACATCGTTTTGAGACATATATAAAGTTTTTTACGGTTCCTATAGAGAAATGACCTGAAAAATCCAAATCCGTTGGGATCCAGACGTCATCTGATGAGCGTTTTGCGGTTGCCGCATTTTTTTCCAAGATGGCGGCCAAATTTACTAATTCTCCTAAATCGACTTTTAATCGTGAATCAAAGCTATATAATGTCTTCAAACTTACATAAATAGTATAAAAGGTTTTATTTCTATCTATTCTAGATTTATTTAAATCAAAAATTTTCCTTGAAAAGATGGCTGAACGCATTAAATTCCATTTCTCGCCTTGTTTTCTACCGTATAAAGATGCACCAAATGTTTCGGCAAAACCAACAACTTCATCGATCGAAGACGCTGTATTTCCCAAATTAAGGATGTCTTCGAATTTTATCAAATGTTTATGCACAGTTTTTTTGCCAATGCCCAAAAAAGCTGACACGGTATCACATCCTGTTAGTGCGTGTGCAGAAATGAGATTATTGATGATAGAGGCGTGCTGTTTTATGGTTTCATTTATCGATATAAATATAATAGCTCGTCCTCCACTAAGTGGCTCCATTATAACCTATAAATATAAATAAAAATATATGCATAATATTATAAAACCGCAATTATAGTAAAAATATTTTATTGGCTTAAAGTCATAAATACTTGTGTTGACTGATTGCAAGTTATGTCATGAACATGGTGTACCAATAAAGTAAATCAGTGTCTTCTGACAACACAGTTTTAGGCAATATTCCTTGCTTTTCTTCTTGATATAAGTGATAGATCATTGTAACATCAGCTTTTTCCTGTATTATTAACGCATCTTGTTGTCCAACCCCTAATTCAATAGAATGAGGTTTTAATCCAGTTATAACTACCCTTTCCTTGCTTTCAAATGCAGTTTTACTCAGACGTTTTACTATCAATTGAATGACTTGTTTTTTGTTGTCGATTACATTCAGAACAATTAGTGGTAGTGGCAAATGCTCATGTAAAGCAAAAACACGACTGTATCCCACGCCACTCGTTGATCTACACAAAGACTTAATACTCAGCTTAAAATAGTGATCAAAAACAACATGCATAATGCTGCTTCCAATAGCTCGACGCTTAAAGCTTTTTACCTCTGTTGTTGCATAATCTGACACCTTAGGAGGTGGTGACGACTAGGCCACTGAATCTCCAAGTATTACTTTTTTCTTGGTAGCTGCTGCCATCGACTTTATCGATTTTTTTAAAGGGTTGTGGAATCTGGCCAGCTATTCTTGCAGACCTGCCATTGAGCAGTACCAATCTGAATGGAGTCATATGCGTTAACTGATGGATCATCAACAATTAGTCCAGAAAATATGTTCCCAAGACCTTTTGCAGGATGGCGAGTCTTATCAAAAACATCTGTGCATTTATTTATTGCTTCCCTATTGCTAGCTCGATCTCGTTCATCGCTTAGCAAATATGGTTTTGTTTCTTCTTTGTGAGACATCACTATATTTTCTTTGAATGAATCATTCATTGATTCTAAGTTGTGTTTCAGTTGTCCAATAAATCCGAGTGATAATGCCCAGATAGACATTGTATTTTCATTAAGTGTTGAAAAAAACCAAACCAAAAGAACCTGGAAAGAGGAAAGATTTATAATTCTAAATATACTGTAATATATTAATTTGATTTCTGTTAAATAACAGTTTTTTCAATAAGTACATTTAGATAAAAATTATTTTTTCCTCTTTGTTGTGGGGGCCTAAAAAATATAATGCGGGGGAGCCCAAAATTTGAAGTTCCTCCACTGATTATAAATTATAGTAAATATTAAATAATATAAATAAATATTTAAAAAATATTATAATTGAATATTTTTATATAAGTTAAGATAAATTTATTATAATAATAAATTATATAAATATTTCATGTCTCCATAAAGAATTTATATTAAGATTTTTTATATTTGAAACGAAATTCACTCCGTGTTCAGACTAATAAATTCTTCTTCTTCTTCTTATTATTGTTGTTATTATTAATATTCTAAATACAATTTTATAAAGTTACTTACAAAGTTATATTAAGTTAAAAAATCTGTGATATATATAATTTAAGCGTTACGGTGCTATTATTTCTGTTATTCTATTTTATTATAGTTTTTAATAATAAAATTTATAATTAAGAATGTCATCAGTTTATTTGCAAATGCAGACAAGGTACAAGTTATTTAAATTTAAACCAGATTATACAATGTTAGATAGAAAAATTTCACACTATTTATGTAAGTTTGAAGACATTATAAAGTTTTCTATGACGATTACAAGTCGATTTAGGAGAGTTTGTAATTTTGGACGCCATCTTAGGAAAAAAGGCGGCTACCGTAAAATGCACAACAAATAGCGTCTGGCTCCCTACGGATTAGGATTCCTCAGCAAATTATACTATAGGAAACATCAAAAACTTTATAGATGTCTTAAAACAACGTACGACAAATTTAACAGTGATCGATGCCTAGACTAAGACATTTAAAACTCATTTTAAAAACCTTGCTAGCAAAAACTTTTTTTATAATTAGAAAAAATTAAAAGAGCATTTTTATGCAGTAAATTCTAAAATAAACCCCTGTATATGCAGTTTTTTGTTTAAATATTTATACTAGACAACTTATAAAGTTCTTGAAGTTTTTATTAATTGTTTACTTCTATGAATTATATTGAATAAACAGGATGTAGTGGGGGTAATGAGTGAGGTAATAACTTATATAAGTTAAAACTTATTTCAAGAAGCATCATTCAGTATATTTGATAAGTTCAATTATTTTAAATAAGCACGTAAAAATTTTAGTAGAATATGGTACCTTCATCAAGAGCATCGCAACTTGGCGAAGGTACTGTAGCTTTTCAGCTACAGTACCTTCGCCAAGTTGCGATGCTCTTGATGAAGGTACCGTAGCTAGACAGATGAATCAAAATAGGTTTAAAGTTTTGTCTCTGAAGATGATCATCTGGAAGATGAAACTCGCTCCGTAAAACCATCAATAATCAAAAGCGCCGATATGAAGCTGGCTTTTAAATAGAATTCAAGTCAGACTTGCCAAGATTTGCCTTAAGATTCAATGTGAGTGATTAGATTATTTGCATAGATTTGACCCAGATTGGAAGACGATAGAAAAAAATAAAAAGGGTACCACATAAAATGAGTAAAACAAATGTTACAATTCTTAGAATCTGCTCATCATTGCTTTCCTGCCACATCTTCTTGTCGTTCCTTGACCAGATATTGATATATGATGAAAAAAGGATTACTGTTACAATAAGTGCTCTTATCATTGAAAATCTTTTAATATTTTTTTGTTTTACTGTTTTTGACTATGGATAGCCGTATGAGAAATCAGTGATTTCAGAGTAGAGAGGTTTTGAAAAATTAGGTGACACTTTTTTTTAATTCTCAAAGGCAAGGTGTTTACAAAAATGAGATAGGATATATTATCTTGTATCAAGATAGGAAAATGTAATACTTACTGATCGTGGTTCTTTTTGAAATAAATTATCTAAATAAATAATCTAAAAAATCCATTTTTGTGTTGTTACTTCTAAACCTTCAAAATTACATTAAATTTTTCGGTTGCCTGGTATAATATCTTACTTTTTTAATTTGACTAACATTTTTTTAAGGTATGACAATTTTTAAAAAGGTAATTTTTTATGCACATTTTTGTTTTATGTTTATTTTGTCAATTTTTTTATGCTATTACATATTACAAATCATGTATGATTAAAATGCTTTTTCTATGATTTTTCAAGTATGGTCGTCATGGAGTGAATGCTCTGTAACATGTGGAGAAGGTAATGAAACTAGCCATTCTGTAACAAATGATGCAGTAAGGTTTAAAAGTTGCAATGTTATGAACTGTCCAGGTACAAACAAAAATTTTTAAATAGTTGTAAATGATTTTATTTTAAATTATAAAATACAGTTTTTTAGGAGGTCAAAGCTACATTAGAATTAGTAAAAGTTATAATAAAGTCATATCATTATTTAGCTTGATGTCAGAACATATTTTGTAAATAATATTCTTTGATTTAAATTATTAGTCTAAAGCATAGCAGATTACATGTACAATATATGACTACCTGCCTTGCCTCCCATAATGCTTTAGCTGTCTAGTAGTAAGTAGAGTGCATTCTTGTTTTGCCACTTGCAGCTTTTATACGCATTGGTATTAAATTAACTAAATTATTTTTAAAAGGCTGGAAGAGGTTTTTAAAAACCACTCTTTTGGGAAGATAACCAATGTTTTTATTTTTTATTGAATAAAAAAAACTATGACCTGAAAAATGTTTTCCAACTAAAAGTTGAACTTTTATTTAAGTACTTAAGTAATAGAGTTACCAGAGTTACCACATACTCATTAGACTTGTAACCAGAGTTACCAGAGCGTCACATACTTATAAGAATGTCATCAGAATGGACTCACTATCACCTCAATTAATTTATTCTGAGAAAAAAAGTAATTAAAAAAATATTAATAAAATTTGTTGTTGATAGAAAATACCCCGAAACCAAAATTAAACAGAAGCTTTTGATATACAAGTTCAATACCGTAATTAAAAATGAAACATTAACTTACATTTTAGTGTAACTTAAACTATAAACAAGGTAGTGGTTTATCGGTAAAGTGCTCAACTCATAAGCTAGAAATTCCGAGTTTGATCCCCTTCACGTTCCTAGTAGTAACGTACTCAACATGTTTCTCCTTTTATCTTGATATATAATATCTAAATATATATATATATATATATATATATATATATATATATATATATATATATACATATAATAAAATTTTCATTATATATACTAGTGATCCTCAAATTCCCGGAAATTTCAATTTTGGGAATATCGAGAATGAAAAAGCTCATTCCTGGGAATTACCGTTACCGGAAATGAGCTTTTCAATATTTTTTTTCTTTCTAAAACCTAAAAATTTTTAATCAAAAAAATACAAAAAGCAACACAAAGAACTCAAAATTTATGTTTAAATCTACTATATTAATTTAATTCAGAAATAACATTTAAGAAAAGAAATAGCATCGATGTTCTCATCACAAAGACGGTTGCAAACTTTGCTCACAAGAATTTTAGCTTCTAAAAAACGACGTTCTGCAGCGTGTTGCAACATGTTGCTTGTGTTATATTTGGTCCCTCAAAAAGTCTATCCAGAGTTGGTGAGCGTACTTTTGTCTTCGCATACATCTGCATTTACTTTTTGTAGTCAATAACTTTTTCCGCCTGCTTGTTGGTGACCTCTCTTGAAGCTTTCAAGGCAAGTGTCAGTTGCTCAGCTAAACTTCTTTGAACCTGCTGTGATGTTGATGCTGATGGTTCTTCTTGCTCTTCAGGTTGTCCCACAAAATCATCATTTTCAGTACTGAAGAGTCTTTCCACCAGTTTTACTGCAAGTTTGCTCATAGCTACAACAGTCGATGTAGCAAAGGAATTTGGCACATTGATGCTGTTGATGTTGCGCAAGAAAAGGATGAGTGATTGAAGAAAGTCATGTCTGCATTTGTTGACTTTCTCTTTGATAGCCAAGAAGATGTCTAGCGAGAGCTGATGATTATGCATTTCTAAATTGTCCAAGAGAAACCTGATAGTTGTGTTGCAATCGATTAGATTTATTGATTTCTTTGACAAGAATTGAATTGCTAACTTCGCTGGACTCAGAACTTCTACCAGATCCTCCAATCTTTTTGAGTCGATATCTGCCGATAATTAGGTTTTATCAATCTCCTTGTGGTTTAGAGCTTCCTTCACAGATCCAAGTAATTTTAAGAACCTTTTGCAAACATCATGAAGGCTGCCCCAACGAGTCTTTGAATCCCAAATTGATTTCTTTATTAACACCGTTTTCAAAATAATGAAGATTAATGTTCAAGAAACGTCGCCCTGCAGTAGAAGTCCATTCATCAAGTCAAGAGTTGTTAAAAAGAAATGTCTTTCAGCTAGATGAGTTTGAACCCACGATTTTATTTTAGCCTTGATGTCTTCATGAAAACCTCGAACAATCTTTGCAACACCAGATCCATTCTTTAGAAAGTTTTTTGTTGAAAACTTCTCTTTCATATGCTCTGCTATTATATTTTAGTTGACAATCTGTTCAAAGTTCAATCCATTTAAAGCAACTTCTTTAGAAATGGTTTCCTCAAACGATGCTTGTAAAATCTGTCATCAGCTTTTGCCTCTTTACTGGGAAATTGTAAGTGCTGCTTGTGCTTGGTTGAGCTTGGTTGTTAGTTGTCGGTCCAGATTTCAATGGATCAAGTATCTGATGAACACGCTTTAGATGTTCTATCAAACCCTTTGTTGAACCTCCAGTACAATTGCAAACAGCATTACACTTTCGATTGCCCAAGTTTACGTCATAGGGTGCTTTATCTTTGTTGCCCGTTTCCCTTTTGAAGTGCTTCCACACAAAAGACATGGTATTTAAAATTAAATGATAAGATATGAAGATAAAAGAAAAGAAGAAAAAAGGAAAGAAATAAAAAAAGAAGAAAAAGAATTAGAAAAAGAAATAACATAATATGTACTATATTTACCTTTGTGGAATATAACTTTTTCACTTTCATTTAAAAAAACTTGCACAATGCACTTTAAACTTTAAAAAATATTGTATAACTAAATACTAATTAATTTTACGCATTTTTACAACGTTTTATAAGGTTGCTTTCTTGTGTGTCTGTCTGTCTGTCCGTCTGGTTAGAATCTTTGAAGCAATATTTAACCCACTTCCCGACCAGCTAGAGCTCTGAAACTTTCAAATAGCTCAGAGCCCGATGACAATTCAATTTAAAACCATTTCCAAACTTCTTCAACCAATATTTCTCAAAATTTCAACAAAATTCAACTTTATATGGAGAAAAAAACAAACACGAGGTCAGCAATAATAATAAAAAAAGTACGCCAAAAATTTTAGTTTAGCATTAATAAAAGAAATCATTAAGAAAAGTAATTAAAACAAACAACGTGAAGCTGACTTTAGTTTAGCGTAAATAAAAGAAAGCGTTAAGAAAAGTAATTTAAAATAATCGACAATAAAAACAATAAATCTAAAAATTATAAAATAATCAAAACAATAAAAATAAATTTTTCTACAAACAACGTTTTTCCAGCGCCCTGAAAAGTAGAAAATAATTTTTCTTTGAGCTTGTCAGAATGTCTCGTTATATTCCTCTTTTCATGATGACAGATTTTATAACAAATTATACACAAACAAATTATACATACAAATAAATACACGTATTACAAAAAACGTTGGGCGCATGTCATAAGATATAAGAGTTATGATTGACCAACATTAATGGTTTCGTTAATCATACATCAACGCAATATATCTACACTGTGCCCAACGTTTTTCGTAATACGTGTATCAAATTTGTTATAAAATCTGTTATCATGATAAGAGGAATATAACCAGACGTTCTGACAAGCTCAAAGAAAAATTGTTTTCTACTTTTTAGGACGCTAGAAAAACGCTGTTTCTAGAAAAATTTATTTTGATTGTTTTTATTATTATATTGCAATAATTGCACTACCAACTACAGGTAGACTTTAGAGTAAAAATAATGAAGATTCATTTTGATGCATACAATTGCGGGTATATTTAAAGACTAAAATTTTTTTAAGACCTGTAAAGTATATTTCCAGGTATAAAAATAGTTTTCAACTTTAATTATACCTGCAACTACAACTATAAACTTTAAATATACCTTTAAAAAATGATAATCTACATATTTGTATTTAAAATAAATTCCCGGGAATTTCTCGAAAAAAAACCGGGAACGAGAATGGGAGTTGACCAACGAGATTCCCGGTGATTAGCGTTCTAGGAATTCCCATAAGGATTACTAATATATACTTTTTAAACCCGATAGATTCAGCATAGATCTTAACTCACCAAATACAGCAAGATCATCCAACCATATCTTCAAAACGTTTTATGACTTTATAAGTACAGTTACTGATTATAAAATGAAGCTTAATCTATAGGACCTAATGTTCATAAATATATTTCAGAGTGTGATGAGTTTGAGCAAGAAACAAGTACACTCAATATAAAATCAAAGAATAAAATATTTACCAGTCATATTTTATCTAGACATAAGTAAAAACCTGATGAATTGATTGACCAATTTCTTAATTAATAAAACAATTTCGTTTATTAATAAACAGCACTTGACAAAAACCAATAATTGACTATACCAACCATCAGCCTTTGATCAAGCAAGATATTTAGATGATACCTAATAAAATTTAAACTTGTACTATAAATCAACCATCTAATCTTTACTAACACTGCATGTCATTAAAAAATAAATTCATCCTTGCAAAAAAACATCTACAAGTGATGCAATTATTTATACCAGTAACCATGTAGCTGCTGCAGTAAAATCAAAGCAACTGTGGAAACATGCAATATCCATGTACGAAATGTTCTGTTTGTAAAGCTACCAGTCATAAATTCAAAATATTGGTCATTTTTAAAAAACTTTGTCAATTTACTTATTTCTCAGCACCCATTCTAATAATTGAGAATAAATACTTCTGTTCCACCATCTCAGCCTCAGCCAATTCTCTTTTCCAATTATGCCAAAAAAATACAATTGATGAAAAATATAGAGCAGAAACCTTGATTGATATTGGAAGTACAAATAAAAGTTTAATTGATAATAAAAGAACAAATTTACGCAATTTAAAAGTTATTTATTAAAAGATTGAAAATGGAATAGCATCAACTTCTTTGTTTGCAAAATCAGATGGATATTGTTATGTTTTAATAAACCTTCAAAACAAAATCCACAATAAAGTCAAACTGCTAGATTTTAAACTTATGTATAGACATCATTTTTGGTAC